ACTTTAAAAAAGCCATCCGTCCATCCGGATTGTTTTGCGGATATCCGGATTGACCATCCACGGATCGCATCTCTAGTATAACAATCAATTCGATTATTGATTAAATTAAATGCTAATTAAAAATTGTCAAAATTAAATTTCTTTCTTTACATTAAAACATTAAAGGTAATTTGTTAAAGGTAATTTCTCTCATATTATTTTAATTTATATTAAAATGGTATAGAAAATTTAAATTTAAGTTTTTAAGGACCAATCAGATTTCTTTATTTATGAAAAAGTCAAAATCTGATTGGTTGAAATGAATTATAGCGTTAACACTAACTAAATAAGAAGTAATAAACATAAATGTAACATCTATATTTTTTATTACGATATGTTTATTTAGAAAGTTAGTTCATTTAGTTGTATCATAGCACGTATGATTATTTTGAGTGTAATAAGTCATATCCAAGTTAGATAATACTCACATGAAATTGTGTTCAATTTTTTTGGTGTAATAAAGTTAAAACTTTAATTTAGTAAGCAATTGATTGGTTCAGGTTGTTAATTCAAATTTTTTAGCGAAGCAATAAAAACACATTTTAATTCTCAAATGAATTGGACTTTTTTTATTAAAATTAAAATTCATGAATAATTCATGAATAATTTCCTTCCGTATATGTAAATAATTATTTGCGTAACAAATCTAATCATTAATTAAATAAATAAAAAATAACGTTAAATTCTATGTTGGTGTTACAGAAAAAATATGAGGACGGCCATCCCATTTATATGTTTCGAATTTGATGAAATTGACTATTGTTTTGACTTAAGTGATATGTTTTTTTTACTCTTTATGATAAAGAAGGTGCAATCCAAATCAAACTTAACTTTAATAGATTTTGGTTCTTGCGTAGCGCAGCATGTACAATAATAATAATAAAAAAGAAAAAAACTCCACGTTGCGTTTTCAGTTGCAAACTTGTTAATTAAAAACATATTAGTTAATAGTGATCTTTATCACATTAACTAAAACCAAATCTCTTTCTGTTCACTTGGAAAAAAAGATTTTATTATTTTTGCATGATAAATGGTAAAAAACGTTTATCACGTGGACAAGGCATTCAAATTTCAATTTCAACATAGATCATCAAGTGTATTGATATCGATTTCAGAAAAATAAAAAAAAAAATTTTTGAAATTTACTACCCAACAAAAACAAAAAATTCCTTCCCAAAAAATTAAGTTTGAAAAACAGTGATTTTTCGCTAGCTGCTCATAGTTCTCACTATCTTGCTGAGCTCTGCAGAGAGAAGAAATTGCTATCACTATTAAAAAATGTGTTGAAAATTGTAGAACCTCAGATTTTCCAAAAAGAGTTTTTTTTCTAAAAAAGAATTCCAATCAGCGAATGATTATCGCTTCTAAAACTCTCTAAACAAAAAAAGGATAACGAAGCGTAGTACCAATGCTAACTAATTTCTTTCTTGCGCTAAAAAACATCAAATCACATTTAGGAAATTTTAAGTTTGTAGTAGGAGAACATAACATTAATCAAATGTAGCTGAGGAAGAAAGGTCAGTTCCGGTTCTACATTCTCAATAAAAGTTTTTTTTTTTTATATGAATTTATTTATTTGGTAATTCAACCTAAAACCTTGGCATCTCGATGAAAAATTTATATGCATATATTTTTTAATTTATAAATTGCTATTACAGGCGACTTCGTCGCCACTGCCATGTATAATATTTTTTTATTGAGTGATTATTTCGTGACATGTAAATTATACAGTCAAATCTCGATAAATCGAACTACTATAAACCGATTTTCGCCTTATAACGATGCAAAATTGGTCAAATCTCTCACAAATAAGTAATAGTTATTTCACGGAGACTAACGCCCATGATGAAAAAAAAAGTTTATTTTATGAAAAAGTTTAATTTGCTATAAAAGTATTTTTTACTGTAAATTCACTATTATAAAAAATTTACTACTACTTTTCCAAATTTACCTTTCGCATCCTTTTTAAAACATTTTTTAAATTGATTACAAAATGCCTCAAATTCACACCAATAAAAGGCAACAGAGACAAGAATTTCGACCTGTTTTTACCAATGCAAGCTCCTTCCTTTCCCAAAAAGCACCCGAGGCTTCAACTTCCACTTTACCAGTTGATTCTATTTCCTTACAACAAGAATCGTCGGAAATTTATAAGAAACTTAATTTTTATCGTCAAAAAGCTATGGTTCCAAATACTGAAAAATCAACTCGAAATTGGATCGCTAAATTTGAAGAATTCCGCAAGAATTATAATTATGTTATACCACTTGATAAGATTACAGATTCTGAACTGATTGAACAACAAGTTTGTGAATATATTGTACAAATGTCTAAAAAGAAAACCGCTGGAGAATATAAAGCAAATACAGTAAAACAAGCTGTTGATGCTATTAACCGCCACTTGGTAAAATTTTCACCAAACCGTGGAATCAATTTACATGACAAATACGAGTTTCCAGATTTATGGACTGTATTACATGGTAAAATGAAAGATTTGCAAGAAAAAGGATTTGGCGAAAAAGAGGGATCAATGGCATTAACAGCACAACAAGTTCAAGAAATTCTTGCTGATAATTTTCTTAATACAAATACCCCTGAAGGTCTTTTATATCGAGTATTTTTTTGAAATGCAACTAATTTTGCATGTCATGGTGGAGAACACTACAACCTTCGTGTTGATCAATTTCAACCTTTACCTGATGGTGGTTTACTTTTTCGGCGTTATCGTAGCAAAAACAACCAACGTGGAATTGAAGGAGGTGTTTCACAAGATATTCACCTTCCTTCAAATTCAGAAGCAATTAATGATATCAATAAATATCTTTCAAAACGTTCTAATGGTGCTTCTGAAAAATTTTATTTACAAATTAATCAACTTTGGCGTGAAACTGGAATTTGGTATAAAAAAAAACATTGTGGTTTCAATAGAGTAGGAAATTTCATGAAAGATATTGGAAAATCCATTAAATTAGATCTTCCGCCTGGTATCTTAACAAACCATTCTGGTCGCAAAACTGTTGCTCGGATTCTTCAAGATGCTAATGTTCCAGAAGATGCCATAATGGGAGTAACACGTCACAAAAGCATACAAGGTGTTCGTGCATATAAAGAAGTAAATGAAAAGCAGCATCTTGTTGCTATGGATACTTTAATTCATGCTATAGAACCATCAAAATCAGTTCTTGGTGATTCAACTTCAATAAATAATTCTTTAAACATTAATAATGCTATACCAGAATTTTCTTTTGACGATATGGAAAAGAAATTTCCTATTTTTAATAACTGCCATTTCAATAATGTAACTTTTAAATTTTAAATAAAGTTTTAAATAAAGTCTGCTTTTTTGCATAAATAATAAATATAAAAAATAATACAATAATAATAAATAATAAAGTAAATATTTTCACGATTTTTAAAATATCACTATGAAAAATCATGGGCGATCATTAGTAAACGTGGGATAAAATTTATTATTGTATTTGAACAATTAATAATGATAAAAATCGTTTTTCATAAACCGAATTTTGATAAGCCGATGACCCTATTTTTGTGATTCCCAAAGTTTTGGCTTATCGAGATTTGACTGTACTCCTCAAACTCTAAATTTTCTTGATCAAATTGTTGTACAACTACAGAACTCATCATTTCCTAATAATAGCAATGAATAGCAATGATAGAAAATAAATCAGAATGATATCGTGGTGTGAATGAAAATCACGCATGGTCATTGTAATATTTGCAACAAATGTGATTTTTGCATACCTAGTCGGCACAAAAAAAACGAGAATTAGGATGAAAAAAGGAAATTGATGTCGATCATTTAACGAATCGCATCCAAATTCTTTTGTTTCGACGAATCTTGTTTCATTGAAGTTCGTTGAAACGCAATTTTCATATTCGATTGAAAAATCCGGTTTGACTCGAATCCGCTTTAAAATTAGACTCGAACTCGATATGTTTGAAGCCTTAATTTTTAAAAATATATGTTTACCATATATTAACGGTCCAATAATTCCTAACTAAATTATCTACGAATTCTGAGGAAGAAGACGGTATAATAATAATTATTTTTTTTTAAATTCTTCTAGGTTGAAAATGTGAGATAATAACATTTGGGAAATATATACCACTATTATTAGAAAAATATTTATTTTATTACCATACTAATACTTTGTTAATTCGACAATAGTAATATATTTATTCCATTCAACTTTTCCGCCCAATTTCTTTTTTCCAATAAAAATTCAATAATATTATTAAAGCAAATGATGAATATTATATGTTTTTTATGGTTTAACTAGTTTGGATTCTAGATGATGATTTCTCCAATTTAACCAATATTGAATCATGATACAATCCAACTTAAAAAAGTTTTTATTTATAAAATAAAGATTCAAGATATTTTATTTTTTCTATCAACCTTTATATTTATTATATATTATACATCTTTAATCAAATATATATAATTAAACTAATCGACAATAAGAATCATAAGAATAATTCTAAAAAAAGAATTTAACAATCATATAAGTTATTATTATTATTAATTAAAAAATTTTTAAAATAAATTATGTTTATTGAATCATAATGTTTATTATTTATTATTGTTATTAATTTTGAGGAGGACCATCATATTGCATGGATTGTTGTATGGATGAATTTGTTACTAATGGGTATTTTATTACTGAGCCTCGTGGTAATGGATGTGGACTCTTATTACCGCCATCATCATTGTCATCATTATCATCATTGTCATCATTGTCATCATTGTCATCATTGTCATCATTGTCATCATTGTCATCATCGCCATCATTGTCATTATCGTCATCATTCTCATTCTCATCATTCTCATCATTCTCATCATTATCATTCTCGTCATTCTCATCATTCTCATCATTATCATTGTTATCACTGACATCTTGATTTGTTGTAGGCATATGAGAGCGTAAAGTAGGTGAAGAAGAAGTTATTCCTAATCCTGATTGCAAACTTGGTTCCATAGTATTAGAAAATCGTGAAACTGAATTATTATCACTAAAACGATCATTATCATTAAAAGTAGAGGTGGGAGAAAGTGGAGGAAGTGATTGATTAGCATAACCTCCCAACATTAATTGTTGTTGCAATAATTGTTGCTGTAGTAATTGTTGTTGTAATGTTTGAAATTGTGGCTGCTGTTGTAATAATTGTAACTGTTGTAATTGGAGTTGTCGCTGCAATTCTAATTGTTGTTGTTGTTGTTGTTGTTGTTGTTGAGTCAAATTAGGGCTATTGTAATATGTGGATGGATTATATGTTTGTGGCATGGTACCGAAATTACCTAAATTATTATTGTTGTTATTACCACCACTATTGTATTGGAAATTATCATACATTGAATTTGTAGCTGTTGTTGGAGTTGTTAAAGGTGGTGTAGTAATCATTGGTAAAGTTGGTGATGCAGGCATTGAAGATAAATGTTTGTTGTTGTAATTGTTACTGTTCGTCAAATGATTATTATTATTAACTTGAGAATAAGAAGGAGGAGGAGGAGGAGAAGAAAAAGAAGTCATTTGTGTGCTACGAGCTGATGATGAGGCATTATTAAAAGATAAAGATGCGTGTGCATCTTTTTTTTGTCTACTTTTACGATATAAAATGAAAACACCAATTGATGCAGCAATAATCAAAACAAGACCAATTGAAACCACAATTGCTAGAACTGCTGTAGGACCAAGTGTTGAATTTGATGTTGTTGATGATGATGATGACGATGTTGACGATGTTGATGATGTTGGTGGTGCTGCTGATGTTGCTGCTGGTGGAGTATTTGGTGAAGCTGTTGGTGATGTTTTACTGTTAGGAGATATACCAGGAAATGATTTTACCCATTTGTAATCAACTATATTAAGTATTTGAATTGAATTGCTTGTTTTGACAGGTGGCCCGGCTTTATTTGTTATATTACCTAAGGTACATAAATGATTTAATATACATACACATATTATCATCATCATTATTTTTATTAATTAATTTATTTATTTACCAAATGTTACCACCATATAATTTCCGATTAAGTTTGCTTTATGGCATGTAACTGAATTGATAGGAACTTCTGGCGTTGTTACTGGAGGTGTGATCCATTTAAAAGGTTTTGTAGTTGTGTCTAATACAACTAATTCAGGAATAGGTGTTGTATCTTGCATAGTTGTAGATCCTCCATAGACTATTACTTTACCATTAGCTAAGATAAATATATAAAATGAAAAAAAAGTTTTTTTTAAATGATTTTAAATGATGATAAGAAACGAACTAATATTTAGTTGATAATTCGCCTATGAATCAGTGAAATAATCATGATCAGCATGTTTCATAGTAACCGGCGGAGGAAAATTGGCACAAAAATGACCAATCAACCAACCACCTTTGCGTGAAAAGTTGTATTATACTTTTTTTCTACTAGATAAATTTTTTTTTGTGTGTACAGATATAAAAAAACTCAAAGGTTATTTTTTTTCTCTGTTGTATTTGAAAAAAAAATTCTTCGGGGGAATGTAAAGATTAATGTTTCCGCAGCAAATTCACTGGATTCATAGACGAAACCATCAATTTATCATTATTATTATTTACCATATACAGCTGTATGACCAGTACGGGAATCAACAACTGGACCACCAACTATAGTCTGATCAACACAAAAAAAAATGGATTAATATATTTTCCAATTGAAATAAATTTCTCCTGTTAAATTAATAATTACCATTAAATTCCAAGTGTCAGCTTTAGTATCATATAATGTAAGCTTTTTTTAAATAAATATTAATTAATAACCATCCATTTTTTTTTATTAACCATTATAATTATTATTTATTACCTTATTCATGGGAATTGCAGTTATAGTATCAGTAGTACCAGTAAGAGATTCTCTTCCACCAATAAAAACAATTATTCCATTATCAATCAATACAGAAGCATGGTCAATTCTAGGAGATGGCATATTTAGAGCAGCTGTTCCAATTAGTTTCCAGGATAAAGTATCTCCATCCAGAGTAAAAAAATCTTTAAATATAACAATAGTGGTAACTTTCATATCATTTGCTCCACCATGAATATATAATTTGCCAGTCAATGGATCACTAACACTTGAAAATTCTCTACGTCTTTCAGGTGCCATTCCTTGAAAAGCAGGTGGGTTTACTAACCATTGGTTGCTTTTAAAATCATGGGTGTAAACCACACTTTTCAAATTATTATCACCAGTTACAGCATCAAGCATAAGACCACCAAATAAAAATATTGTATCATTATTAGTGTTGAAACTAGCTTTAGCCCATGATGAAAATACTGGCAATTGTGAAGTTTCAGTTAAATCCTTCCATGGTGGAGTTGTTGTATCAAATGGTTGTGACAAATCAAGAGAAAAAAATTCTCTTGATGATCCATAATTAGCGCGACCACCTATAACATATAAATTATTGTTAACCACAACAGTGGCATGTACATATCTTGGGTCGGTTGGGATTGAATCTACCACTAAAAATAAGCATTTGAGCAATATTAAAAATATTAAAAAGATGTTCATATTTTTAATCAACTATATATAAAAAGTTGGAAAAAAAAAAAAGACCGCATTTTTTATATTCAAAATTAAATTTTGTAAACAATAATAACAAACAAATTTGTTAATTTGACACCACATATTTATGATGACAAATTTAGACTTTGTTTGCTTACCAAAATAAATTTGAATAAAAAACATCAAATCATATTTAGAAAATTTTAATTAAGTTTGTAGTAGTAGAACATAACATCAGTCAAATGTAACTGAGTAAAAAAGGTCAGTTCCGGTTCTACATTCTCAATAAAGTATTATTTTTTATAATGAATTTATTTATTTGGTAATTCAACCAAAAGCCTTAACATTTTGATGAAAAAAAAATTTAAAGAATGTTGGACGTCAATGTGAATTTGGATATGTTGGACAGATTTGCTAACATTGAGATTCGAAATTTTCTAACAACAATTATAATGTCTATTATAACCCTCCAAACTTAGCTTTTTTCTTCAAAAGACTGCAACGACCATTTTTTTGTTAAAAAGTTGATACTACAAGAAATAGAAGAATGTATACAGTGTGTTAAGAAAAAATGACAGCTTGTATAATATTGGTTTTTAATGAAAAAGTAGCCAAAATTATAATAAAAAAATTATACCAAAGAATCAGAGTACCTTGCATTATTATAACATATAAATTTTTTGAAGCATATTATTATCTAGATTTTAAAACAATTACTAAAGAAATTTATGCATCGAATTGTTTTGCAAATTCCAATTGACAAAATTCTAGAAAATCTGAAAGTATGAAAGTTTATATACATAATCTCCAGAACTTTCGTTACAAACTGGTATAATTTTTTGTATGATTATTATGTATATTTTTGTGTCAGAACCATTATTAAAAAATATGTTAAAATTTCAGAGACAAAGTTTTTTAAAAAAAAAACGAATCTAAATTAATTATGTTATATGCAATTTTTTATCACCACCGTTTTTTTCTTAACACACTGTAAGTTCAATAATTAATTATTTCTCCATTAAACAAAAAGATTAAAATGCCCAATCACTTTCAATAGTAATGGAAAATGTAATGATAGCTGTAACAACTATTTCAGAGTTAAACTGACTTTTAAATTGGTGTTGAAATCATTTTTTTCTAAGGGGACTTGAATAAAATATAGATGAATCAGTTCTAGGGACTGCAAGATTTTCAGAATCTTCAAGAAATACAAGTCGAAGAAGTGAATAATGAGAGGAAAGTGACGAGAAATCCCATATGTTCAATAACAGTAATGATGACGAAGGATTTTATATACTGAACTCTAACCAACACGTCATGTGTTATGATTGATAATTCAATAGGAAAGATTTCCCAATGCCTTTTGACACAAAACTTGATACAGCTCTTGAAACATTGGAAGTAGATTTATTTGTTGGAGACAAAATTATATGAATACGACATTTGCATCAGTAATAAAATAATTTACCACATGATTTTCATAATAAAATGGAAGGCTAAATATATATATAATAATAAAATGACCTTTTTTAGTTTCACATATGACTTTTGAGGAAATCTTTTCATAGAATTATTCCCCAAGACATAAACTATATCATTCTATGAAATTGTTTTTCAATTTTCTTGTTTAGTTTATCCCTGTAAACCTTTAAAAATGGCTCCAAAAGTCGATATAGATATCCAAATTGATAATGTAATAATATACAAACACAACCTTGAAAGGAACTCTTTATTCATTTATTGTAACTGGCAATATCCATCAGAAATTTTTTTAGCTATGATTATGGATAATAGCCAAGGTTAAGGCTCCGAACGAACCAATAAGTTATAAATAAATTAACCCAATGAAATTATGTGTGAAGAAAGAAAAAATATAATTTATCTACGAATTCTGATATCTTCAACTATTAAATTTTATCTTTATTCATTAAATAATTATTTATATCAGATATGTGTGAATATCTGTTATTACAAAAAATAGTTGAAATGCTATCATATCCGTGATTATTATTTCAGTATCTTGTAATAATATTATCAAAGCAAATGATGAATGTTGATATGTTTTTGATGGTTTAATCGATATCTGGTTTTGGGTTTTAGGCGGTGATTTCTCCGATTTAACAATATTGAATCATGAATAAAGCTCTAAACTGTCGGAGATTTAGACTAAAAACTACTTGGTAAGTCGGTCCCTGATATTCTTAAAATTATAATTCTAACTTATTATAGCAACTAGTGTCCCGGTTGAACAATTTTTCTGGAGGCATAGACTTAATTACTCAAAGACGTTGTATTTTAGAACCTAAAACAATAAGAGTTCGAATGTGTTTAATTTTATATATGAAATGAAAAAATAAAACGTTCTTAGGGTTTCTATTCAAATTATTAGTTTCATTCGT